TGAACCCGTTTAATGTATGAATATATCTCAGGATATGTCATACTACATTTGGTGGCCCGTAACGTGCTCATAAATGGACTGTGTATGCGTGTAATAATTGAATATTACGTGTTGGCATGAAAAAGAAATAGCAGAGTGTAGCTGTGTTGAACGCAGCGTGCTGAAGCTGCGCGCTTGGAGAAAAACGCTGCATGTTTACGCTTAATGCTTTGAAGCTGATTCCGATTCATATGTCTTTATGAAAGCTGAAATTGTACATCTGTTGTGTAACATAAGCTGGGTTTGAGTTAAAACGCTTTATTCTGTTTAAACTGGTCCAAACGGACAGAGGTTCTGGTACCGGCTCGGTTCTGAGAAAGATCGAACGAGCTGTTTTAAATAGATAGAGAAACGTTTTAAAGACTGGACGAAGTCTCAGCTAAGCTCAGAGTTTATTGATTACATTTTTAACAGAAAAAAAGTGCATTTTGACAGTTTAAAAGATGAAAAAGTTGACGAACTTGTTCAGATAAATCTAACATGCTAGCTGGGGAAAACGCTGCGTGATTGGTTGAATTAGCTGCTGTGGAACGCTCTCATTGGCTGAGAGACGTGTCAGTCAGTGACCCGGAAATGAAAACTCGTTTTCTTAGGGAAATAAAATCTGCTTTTTAAAGCTGAAAAGCGCTTAAAAGCTGTATTCTGATCCGCTGCTTAAGTTCTTCAAAGTGTAATCGCTGGATTTTTGCCACGTTTGAGTTTAAAATCCGTCATTAAATGATGTTTTTGAACAACGCTAGCGATGCTAATTTTAAGCTAACAGCTGACGACCGGATGAGTGACGTGTCACGTCACTTCCTCCATGTCGGAAGTAAAGCTTGGTTGAACCGAAAGCTTTGCTGTGCTTAAAATCACTAAATATAACTTGCCACATGCCCCTAAAACTCATGTTTCATGCAACAAAGTCGTGCTTGTTGAAAAAACGCCACGTTTACGCTTCAATACCGTTCAGAAATGTTGATTTTAACCGAGTTTAGCCGAAGCTAACTTTAAGCTAAGCGGCTAACAACAGGATGTCAACCGAACGTCACAGGAAGTCGTCATAGACTCCTGCTGGTAGGAAGCTAAACACTGCCCCCTCCTGGGAAACTTGAGATCACAGTTTCACTTCAGTTTTAGGTTTTTGAGTGAAATTAAACTTATTTCTTTCTGTAAGGCATTTTTGAGTTAATAAACGTTCCTCAAAGCTGAATAATCACTGTTATCTTGCATTTAAAAAGTAATTAAGGTATTTATGCAGATAGGCATTTACCAGGACATTTTTCATTCACTGAATTCCTCAAACAGGAGGGACAAAATGAAAAATTAGAAACTTTTTAAAAGATACAGTTACAGATATTCACAGAGTTGATAAAGTTTACTCATTTGCTTGAAAGATAATACACATTTAATTGCTAAATCACTAAATAAGAGTAAACTTATCAGGAAAAAGAAACTTTTCTGTTTAAGTTACCACCTAAAAATACATCTTCCTATTTAATTTTAAATAGAGGATGAGACAGGAGGACAGGAGTAATAACAGTTTTT